GCACAGCAGAGTGCCCAGTGCAGGCCTTTGAGGGGCTCTGACCCAGCCCAAGGGTCATGGCCCCCCCCCGCGGTCCCCCACACAAGCACAGCCTCGGGGGCCACGGCAAAGCTGCGGCCGCAGGCCTCGTGCCCCACCAACGGGCCGTGGCACCGGTCCCTCGCCGCACGGCGACACCTGCCCCGCTGTCACGGGATGCCCTGTGCACCCGTTGGTGTCTCTAGTCGAGCCCCCGCTGCCTGCGTGACGGGGGCCGCGAGCCCTGTCAGTGCCGCGGGGGTGAAGTGACGAGAGCAATGGCAGGGAGGTCTTTTGCACGCACACCCACGCTCTAGACGAAGCACAGCTCTTGGGACAGATCAATTCCCACTCCCGCCTCTATAAGTAGAGCCAAGGTTTGCCCGTTACGCGCTGAGCTGATCGAAGCCACGCAGACATTTTGCTGGTGTCGAGGCACTTTGCGAGTTTCCGCTGGTACGAAAGACCCCCCCGCCTTTGTATTTGCACCAGAGACTTCAGCGTGACGTGCTTTATGAGCACATCTCGGACTGCCGTTGACTGAGCTGACCCGCGTGCAGACAGCGCTGTAACACCACACGCGCGTCTCTACAAGGCGGCTGCGTTAAAACCAAGGTGTGCATGCTACGGATGTGCAAAATCTCCAGCGTGTTAAAATCTACGCGCTGTTTCAAGGTTTAAGCGTACAGCTTTCTGATCTCCGTCGTGTATAAGGATTTGCCGTTCATTCTGCGCTGTGCGCACACAGCAATGCAGCGTCTTTTTAGTCACCCTGATATTGATCCATAATTTTAAAAACTGCCTCCAGTTTGGTTATTTCGTAGGCGCATTCTGCAAGAAGACTTCAGGCAGCTGCATTAGGCCATAATAAATAAAAATGACCCATTAAAAATGGTCTTTTCCGGTGCTGCTCTGTGGTTAATTGTCATAGATCATCGAAGTGGATCTCAGGGCAGTTTGAACTGGCTCAGTTTGCTGTATCTGAAGACTCCCCTGGGCGACACGTCGGTAATGTCTTGCAATGACTGAGTTTGAGGAAAAGATGCGGGTGTCTAGCCCGAGTTGGTAGGGCAGGGCTTTTGCTTCTGGCCCAGGAAGCAAAGGGCTTCACAACACATTCCTTGGAGAGAGCGAGAGAGAGCGAGCGCTAGGCAAGGATTGCTATTTAACCTGTCTGTCGGAGCAGGCTCTGGAACCAGATGCCTTTACAACAGAGGTGGTAAAGGCAAGTTGCCAAGTCTGGATTTGCAAGAAAGAGGCAATTACTTGTCCAAAGAAGATGTCAGCCTGGAAAGCTTATTTCAACAAAAACTGGAAGCCAGCAAATTGACTGTAGCATCCATAAACGTCATTCTTAGAAGGCCTGACTATATTAGTCACCTGCTGAGCCATAGCCAAACATGACTACCAAGGGATACGCAGAGAAAATTCAAGCTATTTAGCCCAGGGACATTATCATCTCATGTGAGGCACTGGGTGTGTGATCCACCAGGTCACTCGTTTCATGTTTACCCACGTTTAACCATTTGGGTTTTTAACACACGTTGATTTAAATTGTTTTTTCCGTGCCGAGGTATGTTGTTTTTCAAATTAAAGTCGGTGCCCCCCCAGTTAAAACAACCCAGATCTTTGCTCTTTTTGGTAGGTGTTTGGAGATAAAAAACATTCTCCATTATGCCAGCTGGGCACACAGCTCGGACGTCCCAGAGACAGCAAGTTGTTGCATTCAAGATTAGAAAGAAATGACTGGAGCCAAGTGTCTGGTGGCTATCAGGTGCAGGGTCCATGCTAGCATATGCATGCTGTTTTCCAGTGAACCATCGTCCCGATTCAGGGGAGCTTTAACTCAGTCTGGAGCACTCACAGGCTATTTCAAAGTCATCCTCCGGTGGGGAATTTGTGCCCTAATTATTACGCAGACTGCTACTGAAAGAAGGGAGGCAAATGGGCCCGAGCAATGGAGGGGGGAGAAGAGGAGGGGAAAGCGGGATGAGGCAGCAAAGACATGGTCATGCCGAAAGGTCATCCCAGACCGAACAACCTGTGGTTGAGACGTGCTCCGTTCTGTGGCCAGTACCCCACATGGCTGGCATCGCAGCTGCCTTTCCCGCTCCATCCTGCATCCATAGGGGAAGCCTCTGGCACCCTTTTGGAGCAGGGTTTGAACTCATGCCTCTGCAGCTTTGGCAGGATGCCTTAACAGCTCTGCCAATGCAGCCCGGCGAAGAGATGTGCAGGGGCCAAAACCTGTGACAGCAGCAAATGGCCCGCCTGCTGCAAAGCGGTCTCTCCCCCGTCTCGGCAGCCACTCCGATGGACACAAGCCCCTCGTGTTTCTTGACTTCCCTTCCTCTGCTTTGTATTCAGCCCGGTGCTTTGGCGTGTGCTGCCCAGGTGCCTTAGGAGCGTGCTGCATGGGGGACTGGAGTGGTTTTCATCCGTTCCCAATCAAACCCAACCCTCTCGTTGTTGGCCTGGAGCTCACAGCGCTTGGCCTCATGCCTCTCTCGGTTAAAGCTCTGGCACTTGTCTGCCCTGCAGTTGTGCCCTCCATACCTCCTCCTCGCTGCCCAGATGTGGGCCGTGCCGGGATGCTGTCACTAGCCTTCTAGCCTTGTCGTGGATGCAAGTCCTGGGCAGCACATTGCATTGTCCTTCCCCCCCACCGCTTCTTCCATTGCTCCATCAAACTCCTGGAGTTTCCTTGGCAACCCCCTAACACAAATCCTGACCGTAAAAAAGCAGGATGAAGCAAGGACAAAGGGCAAGCTCTGGGAGTCCTTGTGCCCAGACAGCAGCAAGAGAAAAAAAGGCCTCTTCCCTTTAATCAACACCCAGGGCTGCTGCCTTTTGCTGTCCCCTCTGTTCCCATGGCAGGCCACGCTAAAGGAGCCCCCAGCCTGGTTTGCTCACGGAAAGCCGGGAGGCCGCCACGCTCCTCAGTCTCCCAGCTGTTGCCATCCCAGACGGCGCATCCTGCTCTTGCTCCGGACTTCGGGATTTGCACCGGTGGAAAGCGATGGCGAAGACCAGCCCAAGGCACTGCTTGCGCCTGCTGTCCGGGTGGCTGGTGCTGTTCAGCTGTGCAGTGGTGGAGGTCTCATCCATCGAGACAGGTACCGCGGGCTTTCCAGGACGCTTCCTTTGCTCTCTGCGTCGGGGCTAGAGTTCAAAACCTGTAGGTTGTTTCCACCAGAGGTTTCCTGGACTTTGAGGGTACTTTTAGGGTATTTTTCCAGCACTCTTCATTCATATGGGTGTCTAAAGAGGGTGAATAGGATATAGACTGAATGGAGAAGCTACTGCTTTGCTGCACCAAAAGGAGCATGCTTCACACGAGCAAAGAGGAGACAGCATAGCTATGGGTGGCAGTGGTCACACGTACCGGCCTCGCTGTGTGCCAGCAGTGGTTTTCCAGCTCAGGATTTGCTCTAGGCCCATGCTTTTCTGCTTGTGCCATCTCTGCCCCCAAATGCATACAAGTGAAACCAAGGCTCGGGGGGAGTGAGATAGTGGGGGGCTCATGGGGGGCATTGGTCCATCAGCTCCCGTGCTGAGGCTGTTGCAGTGGCCGGAATGGGGGGAAATAAAAGGCAAGTGACTCTGATCTTTGTTCCTGCACAAAGCCAGAAGGCAGGGCCAGGCTGGGTCTGTCCCAGCACTGGATGGTGACCCCCGTGGGCCCTTCCTCCACAGTGAGCCTGGTGGATTTCTGCGGCCAGACGCTCCGGGACAACGGCATGATCGTCACCTCTCACCGGGACTCGCGGCGCTATTACTTCGTGGCTGTGGGCACCGACTGCCACCTGGTTATGCAGGCCGCGGCCCCCCGCGACAAGGTCCAGTTCCAGTTCCGGTTCTTCCTGGTGTACAGCCTGCTGCGCCTGCCCCTGCCCGGCGGCCCTGCACCCAGCACCACCGCTACCCTGCCACCCCCGGGCAGCCCCAGGCCACCGCAGACCCCGCCGGGGGGTGACCGGGAGCCGCCCGACCCCTGCCATGCCGGCTCCTACGTGCAGTTCTACGACGGCCGGGGACGGGCGGCCGAGCCCCTGGGGCGTCCGCTGTGCGGGAAGAGCATCCCTCGGCCCGTCCTGTCCACCGGGAACTTCCTGACACTGCGCCTGGTGACGCGGGGCCAGCAGCCACGCGTGGACTTTGTGGGCGACTTCACGTCCTTCCGGCTGGGTAAGGGGCAGAGCTCCCCGCTAGCAGCGTGGTCTAGTAGTTAGGCTGCGAGTTAGGACTCCTGGGCTCTGTTCTCATCTGGGCCAAGAGGGTCCAGCGGGTTAGAACAAGGGACCGGAGCCCAGGACACCTGGGTGTATTGCGGGGAGGGTGCCAGGACACGTGGGCTCTACCTCCAAGCCTGGGAGGGGAATGAGTCCCAGCGCTTAGAGCGGGAAGCTGGAAGTTGAGATGCCCGGGATGTGCTTTTGGCTGGGGGGAAAGGTAGTGGGGGAGAACATGAGCCCCATTCCCAGCCTCACGTGTCCATGGGAGGTGGGGTCCTGCCCTGGGCGAGGGCAGCCAGGGTGCATTGCTGCCATGCCTGTTGGGGGGGGGGGGGGCCAGGGCCCCCCCCCCCCCCTGCCGCAACGGCAAGTGCATCCCCCAGAGCCTGGTGTGCGACAGCGCCGGTGTGGACAACTGTGGGGACGGCTCCGACCAGGCTGCCCGCCCCCCGGCCAGCTGCAAAGGTCTGTGCAGACTGGGGGCAACGTGGGCTGGTGCAGGGGCTGAAGTGTGGGCCCAATCCTGTGGGTGTGCTAAAGGCGGGGGGACAAGGCAATGACTTGATGCTGGGCAGGGCTTGGCTCAGCCCAGGGGGGGCGAGCACGGCATGGGGGCACATGGTCTGTGAACCAGGGGTGCAGCTCCAGCCTTTCTCCCTCTGTCTGCCCCAGGTCCGGTCCCCACCGCAGCACCTCTCCAGACTGCCAGGGCCCTGGCAGCCAGCTCTGCTTCCAGCTGCGGGAGGCCAGAGAAGAGCCAGTCCCCGCCCCAGGACACCAACCTCCAGGAGGACGCTGCTGAAGGTACCCCTCACGGGGGGCAGCCTGCCCCTGGCGCCAGGCTGCGTGGGTGCAGAGCAGGGGGTAGAGGTCTGCAGAGCCTCCAGCACCCGTGCAGGTGCTCAGCAGATGGCTTTTCCTGCCAGCAGCTAATCGTAGAAGCATAGACCATGCAGGTGGAAGGGAGCTCAGGAGGGCATATCCAGTCCAACCCCTGCTCCAAGCAGGACCAGTCCCAACTACCTCACCCCAGCCCAGGCTTCATCTTAAAAACCTCCAAGGATGGAGATGCTACCACCTCTCTGGGCACCGCACTGTTCCCGTGCTTTACTACCCACCCTAATATCCAACCTGAACTTGCTGCAACTGGAGGCTGTCGCTCCTTGTTCCAGTCATGTCTAGCCTGTGCCACTCCTCTGCACTGGATCCCTGGTGCACTCCTTGGGTCACAGCCCTAAAATGCACCCCTGGCACCTCTGGGACAATGCCCTCCTCCAGGCAGCACTTCATGCCCCCCCTTTCCTTTAAATCACCCCATACCTTGAGGTTAAACAGACCCAAACCAAAGCAAACCCAGCCCGGACCTCCCTGCACAACGCTCCCTCCTCCCTTCTGGGTCTGGCCCAATTGAGCCCTAGCGTCAGGATGCGGCTTGTAAGATGCTTTTTCCGCCCCTTCCCTTGCTAAGGCTGCCTGTGGGCACCTTCCTCTCTGCAAGGCATCTCCTCCAGGCCCCACAGAGGCTGCTCCCTGGGGCTGGGGGTGATGGAGACCCCTGGCCCCCCCGGTGACCATGCCCCCTTCCCCTGCAGGTGGGCGGCTGGCTCTGCCGGCCCTCTCGGCGCTGCCGGGGGGTGCCCGGGGGGCCGGGTG